TCAATGGCATCTATAACTTCAATACCAGTGATAGAAAAAACTGGCTTAGACCAAGCTTGAACAAAACTTGGTTTAATAAAAGATTGGCTTAAAGATGTGTGATCAAGAATATTCAATTACTTATTTCCATTCATTAACGAAAGCAAAGAATCTGAAATAAGAAAATTAACTTGACAGAGAGATGTATTTATGAGAAGAGCTGAAGAATTGGAAACTAAAAATCCAAATTATAGGAACGCCCACAACAATTGGATAAATGCTATAAGTAAATTTTGCTACGATTATCAATGGTGATTAATAGGAGGAGCAACGGTATTAACTTTAGGAACCTTTATTTATTGATATCCCGATGTATTACCATCATTTTCTAAGAATATGTTATGAAGACGGTGGTGTAAAAAGATATAAACTTGTATTAGAATGATATAATCCCTCAAAATTTAAGTTAGATCAAATTCTTCCAACCTTCTACACAAGATTAGAAAACTATGGTATAGATTTGTTACAGCTTAAAAAAGTATTTATGATAATCCATTTTAATTTTAAAAATATTACCTTTATACAATTACTGAGTTTGAGTGTAGTTTAAACAGTAATATGCGAAGCTTAAGTAGCTAAATAGAATAACACGGTAGTTTATTGTAAAGGTAACATTTTCTTGCGTGTATAAACGTATGTTTAAAAGTATCAAAGATATGAATCTCTTAAAAAAAGTATTTAAAGGGGTTATTAAGGATACCATAGCAAATTTATTAAAAAGGAAGACTAATGTCTAAAAACACATGCTTAAAATGAATCAATTCAGATTTATCTGTTTTGCCTAATTTTAAAGTTATTAGATTAATTTCTTATAACCAAACGTCGTGTAAATCCTAAGGGAAACCTTTATATAATTACTTCCTGAAGCAAAACATTGTAGTAAGGAAAGGAAAGGAAATCAACCGAGACTCTGAAAGTAATGGTGAGTGAAATCAGATTAGCCAGGCGATAGCCAGGAATAATATGGATTAAAATTGAAATCTTATGAAACTTAGATTAATTTACTATTCTAGCGAAATGTAGGGTAATAAACCTAAGAAGGTTACAGTCCTGTAAATTTTATCCTTTTATTTCTAAAAATTTAGATTAATTTTTCTTAGCAATAAGAGAATTAAAATTAATTTAAGTTAAAAAGTACGATGAGAGAAAACTTGTCGGAATAAAGGGGAACCATCCTCTAAGGCTAAGTATAATAAATTTAGCGATAGTGAATAGTACTGTGAAGGAAAAGGTGAAAAAAAAGTTGTAAACTTATGAAATAATTGAATTAGTAACTCTATAAGCAGTCGAAATTTTATGATTATAGAATAACGACGTACCTTTTGCATAATGGGTCAGCAAGTTAATAACAGTAGCAAGGTTAAAAGCCCTAGCGAAAGCGACTGTATCTTTTTTAAGGTAACGGGATTAGTTACTGTTATTATACCCGAAGCGAGGTGATCTTTCCATGACCAGATTATAATGGATCGAACGGGTGAATGTTGCATAATTCTCCGAAGAGTTGTGGAAAGGGGTGAAAGGCCAATCGTACCTCGTGATAGCTGGTTTTCCACGAAACATATGTTAGTATGACTTCTACAGTCTCTTGTATTTTTAACAAGATGACACTAGATTTATGGAGGTACAGCACTTATATGCATTAAAACTATCTTTATTTATGATTCTTTCCACATTGTGGTGGATAGTAATTAAATATAGTAATCTGGGGGATGTTAAAGTCCTACCTCTGTATATAAATCTCGGAATTACATAAATTGATAGTAGAAATTCAGACTGCTCATGATAAGGTGTGTAGTCAAAACGGAAACAGCCGTGAGCATGAATTAAGGTCCCAAAAGATTATTAAGTGAAATTAAGGAAGTTTTTCTCTGTATGCAACTATGAAGTGAGCTTGGTAGTCGCTAGTCTTTTAAAGACCGTGTAACAACGCAGTAGTCCAAGTTGTTTAATGCTATTGGCATAACAACAAAGGAGATTAGCACCGAAAATTTAACGGGTCTAAAATAATCTACCGAAATCATGCCTTTCTAATTTCGATTTAAAGTTTAATACGTCCGACCGTATTACTTGAATAAGAATAGAAACGGATAGTGGAACATTCAGAACGGTTGAATAACAGTGTTTCATTGTTTATACGTCCCTGAATAGATAATGCTGACATGAGTAACGTAAAAAGAAGTTATAATACTTCTCGCCGAATACGAAAGGGTTTTTAGGCAGAGGTTATACCACCTAAATTTATAGCGGCCTCTAAGGAAACTTGGCTAAAGTCAAGTTCTGATGAGTTTAATGCAGAAAGTCCTTTTAATTAAGGACCAGGAAAATAATGTCATTATTACTACCGTACCCTAAACCGACACAGGTTCGTAGGTAGAGAATACTAAGGCGTAGAGATAATACTTGTAAAGGAACTCGGCAAATTGTCTTCATAAGTTAGACGATATGAAGAACCATTAAATGTAATCTCATTTTAGCTATATTGGTTATACTAATGTTAAGCAAATGAATTCATTGATATGGTGGCACAAAATCGGAGGCCCCGACTGTTTACTAAAAACACAGCTTTCTGCAACGAATAATCTCTTTGTATAGAAAGCGAATTTTGCCCAATGCTATTAATATAAAATTGGTAAGCGCTTTGCGCATTTACTGATTGAAATTCTAGTCAATGGCGGTCTTATCTATGAGGATCAACTGGGTCCTCACTAAACTCGATGATATGCTGGAAACTCCTAAAGCATAAGGTACTTAGTAGTTAGTTAACACTAATTAGTTATTAATTGATTACTTACTAAGTGAAAATCCTTATTGATGTAACAATGGACAATCAGCAGGGAATATGAAATTTGTTATGTTATTTAGTGTTTGATAACGTAATAATTGGAGAGGTATAGCTTATATTATAGTGTATATAGGAGCTATAACTGTATCCCCTTATTATTTAGAAAACTCTAGTACGAGATATCGTACTTTCATAGCCCTCAGAGACTAGATAATTGAGCGACATAGTATCAAAATAAGGTTCAAACACCTAAACTATGTTGATGATATAGTCCAGTCTATTTAGAAATAAATAGTGTTAAAGCCTAAGGTAGCAAAATTAATTGTCCATTAAATGTGGTCCTGACTGAATAAAGTAACGATGGTCTCACTGTCTCTACAAGTATCTCAGTGAAATTGAATTAGCCGTGCAGATGCGGTTTAACTTCGGTTAGACGGGAAGACCCTATGCAACTTTACTGTAACTAGTTATAACATTTCCAATGATCTAGGTGTAGAGTATAAGGTAGTCGACATGACTCAAGTGAAACACCTTAACTAGAACTACGTTAATGTTTATTCTTAAAACTTGGATTTGTACCAAGCCTTTATTATTATGCTAATCATTGATTTCTTAATAATATTAGGAGAGAAGAAAATGACTAGTGGGCAGTTTGTCTGGGGCGGACGTTTTTAATATAGTATCAAAAATACCCAATATTGATTTATCAAATAATATTTTCAATTTTACGATTGAAAATAGATAAATTTAGGAAGCCTGAATAACTTTTTTAATTACAAATAAATATTTAAATTGCTTTATTTGGTGATAAATAGGATGACCGCGAACGAAAAAATAAGGCTGTGTTAAATCACAGATTAAAATATATGTGATTATTAGGTTATTTTCTATTATTTTAATAGTATCTAATACACTCCTTAATAAGGATATATTATTTATTTATTAAATATAATTAAGTGTTTTCTTTTTTTTAAACTAAAGGTATGCACAAACCGGATGGGAACCGAGCGATTATGTAAAATCGAATTAGATGTAATGATTTAAGCATGCTTGACTGAAAGACTCATAAGTCGAACAGATACGTAAGTAGGGCATAATGACCCGACGGTATATAATGGAATAGCCGTCGATTAATAGATAAAAGTTACGCTAGGGATAACAGGTTAATTGGCCGCAAGAGTACACATTGTCCGGCCAGTTTGACACCTCGATGTCGACTCACCCTATCCTCCAGGAGTAGGATCTTGGAAGGGTTCGGCTGTTCGCCGATTAAAAGGGTACGCGAGTTGGGTTTAATACGGCGTGAGCCAGTATGGTCCCTATCTTCCGAAGTGAAAAATAGTAAATGGGGAATTACCTCTCAGTACGAAAGGATCAGAAGGGCGTGTTTCTATAGTGTACCAATTGTTGGATGTAAATTTAATTAAATTGTTACTCTGGCATAGTTGGGTAGCCACAAACATAACGAATAATAACTGAAAGTATATCAAGTTAGAAATCGATCCCCGGATACTATCATAAAAATAATTATAGTGCATACGCATATTAATTATTCTTAGATAAGAAATAGAACATTTCTAGTTAGGATATGAGTGGAATTGTTGTAAAACATTTAGCTTAATATTACTAATTTGTCTATCGACTTTTTTTTTACATATTTATTTATTTTTAAATATAATTTTTATTTGGCAACCACTTAAGCAATGCGGTCTGCCTGTTAAAAAGGAGTGTTTTTTACAACCGTAGTTGGAGTAGCATATATAACCATAGTTTTATATTGCTTTAATTTATCCTCCCTCCCGCACTTACCTTAATGCTATTTAAAATAAAGAGCCTACCTAGGGTAGTGTAACATGTGGATCGCTTTGATTGTATGGACGCACCTAAACAAGGAAGATATAAATATCTATTCCTATTGTTTATAAAGTCCACATACAACACTAAAAGAAGTAGATTAGGCCTATAACTGTGACATCATTGCTCCGTGTCTACACATCAGCGGGCGTTATGTACTCCTAATAGGTTATGTGGTGCTCCCTTTGGAAGCATAGCCTTTATGGCAAGGTATTCACACTTTAGTTGAGTGTAATATTTCTAAAGACAAAATAAAAAGATTAGCTAATCGACCACTTTCGTGATCGGTAAAGGCCAAGTTTAATGAAAAATATAATATATATTCGCATCGTTAGCTGAATGGTACAGCGTTTGCCTTCGAAGCAAAAAGTTATTGGTTCGAGTCCAATATGATGTTTAAAATAATATTTGCTCTTTTACACATATGAATGACATTAAAAGCCCTCCACACTTTTGCCAGCTGTATTTAGCTTTGTGTGTAAATGCTCTAGCTTATTAGTGTAAATGTTCGATGTCTAACTATTCATCGTTGTGTATTAATATAAATTAATATGCGTGTACACTGAGCAATTATAATAAAAGTAGTATAAATTAATGTTATGTGTATAGAGTATTTACATGTAATTTTCCACGAGTATAGTTAAGTGGTATAACTTCTATCTTCCAAATAGAAATCATCGGTTCGAATCTGATTACTCGTATAATAATTTATATTAGTTTGCGTTAGCATTATCTAATAAAGGTATGTGTTTTGTATCGCTTATATAATATTAAAAAGGTAGCAATGCTATCCTTCCATGCCAAATATGGTAGGTCTTCACTCCTAATAGGAGTATTTAGCACTCCAATCCATAATGATTAGTGTCAAGTGCTTTTTTTAGGTAAAAAAATGATTATTTTTAGATTTAGGTATTTTTATCTTTTTAAATAAAAAGAATATATTAAAAAAAAAATAATGGTTATAATAAGTTTAATGATTTTAATTATAGCAATTGCACTAACACCATATTCTCAAGGTAATTCTAATACATTTTTTAATTCTAATACTCAATCTGTAGCCACAGGTTCACAAACAGAACAAGGAATGCAATTATTAACTTCAGATCAAGGTGGAATTTCACCCATATTAATCACTCGATTAACTTCTATAGTATTTCTTTTTGCTGGAGCATTATCATATAATGCTTTATATATTCAGTCAATTGGATCAGGATTAAGTCTCTATAGTGGTTTATTTCACGTAACTGTTTTATCACAAAGTTTTGATTTATTTATATTTATATTAGCATCATTGATTTTAATACCTTGATCAAATAGATTTAAATCATCAACAAAAGGTTCAAATTTAATTATAACAGGACCAATAGTATCTGAATATTCATTAATAATATTATTTTCAACATTAGGAAGTTCATTATTATTGAGTTCAGGTAATTTATTATCTCTTTATTTATCAATAGAATTACAATCTTTTGGTGTTTATATTTTAGCAACTATATATAGAAATTCTGAATCAGCAACAAATGCAGGATTAAAATATTTCTTATTAGGTGGTTTATCATCATGTATAATTTTATTAGGTTGTGTATTAATTTATAGTTATACAGGATTAATTCACTATGAAGATATTTATTCAATTCTGATAAGTTCTAATGAAGATATAAATACAGTTGTACAACTAGGTTTAATTTTAATTTTCATAGGATTATTATTTAAAATAGCTGCAGCTCCTTTCCATAATTGAGCACCTGATGTATATAGTGATGTACCAACTATAGTAACAACATGATTAACAATCATGCCTAAAATAGCTATTGTAATATTATCTTTTGAAATAATAAGTACAATAAATTTAGATTTACTACAAATAGGAGAATCTAATATTAATTTACTTAAAAATTTACTTTTAATTTCTTCATTTTTATCATTAATAATAGGAACAATAGTAGGATTAGCTCAAGTAAAAATAAAAAGATTATTGGCTTATAGTACAATTTCTCATGTAGGATTTTTATTATTAGCATTATCAATTAATACTGAAGAATCATTAGAATCATTATTATTTTATTTGATACAATATTCATTTACTAATTTAAATGCTTTCTTTATTTTATTATCTTTCGGATATATACTTAAAAAAAGTTTAAATAATACACTACCTACAGGTATAGCTAATTCTTCAGAAAATAATAATGATATTAATTTTATTTCTGAATTAAAAGGACAATTTGCAGCTAATCCTTTATTGAGTTTAAGTTTAGCTGTATCTCTATTTTCTATGGCAGGTATACCGCCTTTAATAGGATTTTTTGCTAAAGCTGAAGTTCTTTATTCTGCAACTCATAACGGATATTATTTTATTTCAATAGTAGCTATAATAGTAAGTGTAATAAGTGCTTATTATTATTTACAAATAATTAAAGTATTACATTTTGATCTTGATAATAATACATCTACAGATAAAAATGTATCTACAAATTTAGAAAATAGTGTAACAACACATAATTTAAATTCTAATTTAATAATAACTAATACACATAGTTTCATTATTTCAACTTTAACATTATCATTATTATTATTTATTTTAAAACCTTCTATATTATTAAATAGCATTCATCTAATGGCTTTAAATATTTTCTACTCATAATAATGAATGCATTACTAATGTTATTTTTATTTATACCTATTTTAGTTGTTATTTTATTAGCTCTTAATATTATTTTAGCTGTACATAGACCAGATACTGAAAAATTGTCACCTTATGAATGTGGTTTCACTCCTATTTATGGACAAACAAGATCTCAGTTTTCTGTTCATTTTTATATTGTTGCCATATTATTCTTAGTTTTTGATTTAGAAATTTTACTGCTATATCCTGTATCAGTAACTCTTTATCAAGTTTCTAGTTATGGTTTCACTATAGCTATTATTTTCTTTTCTATTTTAACTATAGGATTTATATTTGAATTAGGTAAAGGAGTTTTAAAATTTACTGATCATAAATCTAAAATTGTTTAATTAGGTACTAGAGTACCACTGCACTTATATTCCGTGCCTTTGCACGCTTTAGACCCTCTTGGGTAGTATTAAGCGGAGCCCTTTGGAACAGTGCGGCCTATATGACCCCCTTTTTCTCCTTGCTCTACCTAGCGCTGCTTTGCATCAGCATACAATGATGAGTGTATGCAAGATATGGGTCTGCTTACTCGATAGTAATTAGGTTAATCTCTCTTAAAAGAGGGTTATTATTAATAATTTAGATTTTTAATTATTATATGCACTACATTAAAAATGGTTGTAAGTTTTATAATTAATTTGTTACATTACCTATAAATTGTTGTGTAATATCATAAAGGTGTTAGCTGAGTGGTTTAGCATAATATTTACACTATTAAGACAGGAGTTCGATTCTCCTACGCCTTATTTTATAACAGTTAAAGGCTTTAAGCCTTTAAATTAATAATGATAACATCCACATTGCACTTACCTATTGGGTAGAGCAGTGGACCGTTTATTCTAACTAGGACATGTGGTAGAGTGGTTTAATACGATCGTTTTGAAAACGGTTACTTAGTAGTCGTGAGTTCGAATCTCACTGTGTCCGATTATAAAATAGTTCCGTAACGCGTTAATCATCGCTGGTGTTGATGTATATTGCCTACAGATGCAAGACAATACCAAGAGCCTGGTACAATTGTAAGTTTAGCAGGGTGCATATGTTTATAAATGGGCACCCATTAGGCCCACACTGCTATAAGCAAGCGGAGCGAGTGATAAAGGCTATCGATTTAACGTTGTGCGCATTTCAGATTATGAGCGTCTAATTACCGCTGTGTTTAGGTAGTGTATCCTTAATTCTGATAAGTAAGCTTATGTAATTGTCTAACGCTTCATTTTCAATAGTTTTAAGTACAATTATATGTTGTACATTGTTATAATAATGTTAAAAGAAGTATAAATTTAAAGTAAAATATATTTTAAGTGTAATACATCCAATGTGGGTAATATAATCAAATATAATTTATTATGTGTGCTTAACGATGTATTAGGCATATATATTATTATAGCACTCATATTAAAGGGGAAATAGGATAATCTGGTAGTCCTACGTGTTTGCACCACGTCAGTAAGGGTTCAAATCCCTTTTTCTCCAACAAATAATTAATAAGCCTTGATAGCTAAGGTGGTCTAAGCACTATAGTGAAGTTATAGCCATGAATGTTCGACTCATTCTCAAGGCATATTATTTTAATTTTCAATACTCTATGCTCGACAAGGCGGAATAGTGTTGTTAAAATATTAACACTGCCCTCCATAATGGGCACCCTCGTACAAGCTAACATAATGCGTACAGCAATGTTGTAGCTTGTGGGGATATCGAATAATAAATTCGAAAAATCATTAATTAATTTTAAACTTAAGCAAATTTCCAACTTGGAATGAACACACAATATAATATCAATAATTTCAATCAACTTTCTCCTTTAGATCAATTTGAAGTAACTAGTTTAATAGGAATAAATGCACCTATTTTAGGATATATAAATATAAGTTTAACTAATTTAGGTTTATATTCTTTAATAGTATTATCAGTAATAATTTCATTACATTATTTAAGTAATAATAACCATAAAATTATACCTTCAAAATGAAGTATTGCTTTAGAAAGTTTCTTTACTAGTATCAATACTATGGTAAGAGAACAAATAGGATCAGCAAATGAAGTATATTTACCATTTATTTATTCATTATTTGTTTTCATTATTGTAAGTAATTTAACAGGTAATATACCTTATAACTATACTATAGCTACTTCAATGATAGTATCAATAGGATTAAGTTTCACTATTTTTACAGGAGTAACAATTTTAGCTCTTTATAGACACAAATTACATTTCTTCTCATTCTTTGTACCTTCAGGAACACCTTTAGCATTAGTACCATTATTAGTTCTTATTGAATTAGTATCATATACAGCTAGAGCTGTATCATTAGGAGTACGATTATTTGCTAATATGACTGCAGGACATACTTTATTAAAAATATTATCAACTTTCTTAGGACAAATGTTCGCTAGTAGTGTGTTAGTATTCTTTTTAACTTTAATACCTTTTTCTATTTTCATAGCTTTAATTGGATTAGAATTAGCAGTTTCAGTTATTCAAGCTTATGTATTTTGTATTTTAACTTGTTCTTATATTAAAGATGCTATATACTTACATTAATTAAGCTTTGCTTTGCACCCCCTAGGGGTATGTGCTGCAATCCCCTGCCTACAAGGCAACGGGTTCTGTGTATAAGGCCTTAATTATTCTATATGACCCCCTTCTTTAAAATTCCAGTGTATTATACGTAAAAGTGTCCTGAACTTTATAAAAAAAACATTAGATTTAAGGGGTGGTAATCACACAGCTAAAAAACACAAATTCGAATTATTCTTAAAAGAATCCATCGATGATATAGATCACGAAAATATGGAAATCAATAGATTCCAAATTAGAATTGTACAATCATTACCTGAAGGAAACAAACACTACGCTCTAATAATAGGATTAAACGGACAAGAATACATTCATTTAAAAAGTATAACAAAAAGATTTTACAAAAATATAGATAATAGAAACATACCAATAGAACAAATAGACAAAGTGTTCATGGTTTTCCATTTTACTCCAACTAAAAAAATTAAGAAATAAAATCACCCTACATATAATTAATAGACTAATTACACCCTTATACTAATAATTAAAAGTAGCATGGGAAAGAAAGTGAAATAAAAGTATCGTTGAAGTGGTCAAATAAGTTTATATTGAACAACAATAATACTTCGTATATTATTGCACTAGGTACAGCTATTATGATGGTAACAACAGAAAAAAGAACTGTTGAGTAAATGTATAGATCTAATGTACGATCTAAAATGAATAGGTTTTTTAAACCTTTTTTATATAAAATCTACCCCCTTGTCTATTGACCTAAAATTAACTGATAAAATTAGGCTAAAATAATTTATAATCGAATGTAAGTGGATTCGAACCACTAACTTTCTCCCTTAAAAGGGAGATACTCTACCGATTGAGTTATACATTCTTAATAGGGGGGGGGGGTATATACCTTTTCTCCGGCTCCTAATAAATTAACGAACGCAAAACGGCTGTAAATCACTACCAATAAAAATAAAATTTCATAAATTTATAAAAATATAATAAATAATTTAGAATTAATGCAGGGTTGTACCTTCTGCTTAAAAATCGGAATTCAAAAAATGACGAAAATGGCCCGGAAAATGTCAATTTTTCGACACGACCCTTTGTATCCTTTAGGTAATTTTAAGGGAATTAATTCATTAACTAAAATCTCCCCCTCAGCAAGCGCGTTTAAATAACCTCATCCAAATACAGTGGGCGCCTAGTTAAATAAATCTATAAAAACCTTAAACAGTAAAGGGGATCACGTATGAAATGATTAAATTTTTAAAGGTTTAGTATTAACAAATTTACTGTTTTTATCATATAATAAAATTCTTTTATTATCAGTAACAGCTAATGTATATGAAGAATCAATAATATTAATAGTACTAAGATCAAGATGTCTATATCATTTATTTTGCTGTAATTGAACAGACGAATCTTTTTTTAATAAAGATAACAATAAATTAAAAGGAAGTTTAACTTTGCTCCCTTTAATTTTAACAATTTCAGTACCATCTTCAAGTATTAGAGCATAAACTTTAGGAGCTAAAAACACAGCTTTTTTAATTTTATATTCTAATTTGAAGTTACCTAACTTATCGTTAACTACAGCATCAGGTAAAGCACAATCTAACACTAAAGAATCTGTATCGGAATAATACAAATTGTTTGCATATTTAATTTTATATTCAGCCATTTTCATTCTGCTGTAAGCAGTAACGAATGAAGCGATAGGTGTAGAAATTTGCATTAATTTATATCTTTGTTTTCTTAATTTTCTATTAACTAGATAGTCAAAGTATTCTTCCCGAATATTATTTTTTTTAATATTCCCAATTAATTCAATATTACCCAATTCTATAATATCATCGGCATTTGATTCGTCGGCTTCACCTATATTAAAAATAGAATATTTCATCAATTCCGGAGACATGCCAAATCTCCCGTAGAGACTGTTAAGAAGTAATTTGCTAATCATGTTTTTTACATCAGATTTAGGGTATTTCAGTCTGTTTTCGTATAAAGTAGAAACGTAGTCTTTAAAGATAAAACCTTTTTCATATCAGTTATAACCTTCTAAAACTTCAATTTTATAACCGTGTTTTACGGCTAATTTCAGTTCTTCCGAACAATATCAACCTTCTCAACTACCAATTGGGGCAATAGTATTGTTTTCTATTTTAGTAACTAAGATTGGTGCATAAATATTATCGGGAGCTTCGATTTTAGCTTTGAATATCCCAAATAAATCTTGTAAATTTAATTTATTATTAAGAGCAGGTTTAGTATATACAGGGTGTCCTATAGGAAATTCCTTTTCCAACATGATAGAAGGATAAAGGCTATTTACATCGTAATAATACAAATTTTTCCCATAAGGTCTGTATACATCCACAGCACCACCTCTATAAGCTTCTTTAAAATCGATATAATCTTCATTGAAAGTAATACCTATTTTAGTATTTCCTAAAAACTTTGTACGGAAAATTCTAAAGGCTAAAGAAGATAAAGTAGGTGTTTTAAATATAGATACTTTAAACATATCTCAAATTTCATAGAAAAATTTAATAATAATCTGATGTAATATTTTACAATCGTGCATGTTGTATTCTATCAACTTACTTACGAATGCCTTATCGTTTAAATCGGCTGTATCATGAGAGGATGTATCATATTCTAATTTATTTTCAACATTGAAGCTCTTAGCCAATTTGGCTAATGATGACGGTAATAATAGTAAAGAATCTTTAATAGTAATATTAATAAATTTAATAGTCTTAGGAATTGTTTTAGCCGTTCTATGCTTTACATCTTTAGTTTTACTGATATTTATAGAAATCATATTGTTGTCTTTATACAATAAATCTATAATATAACCTTCGTTTCTAAGTTCAGCAATATATTTTAACATAAATACGCCATCGAAATTAGACAAATTATGTATATAAACATCTCAATTTTTATATTTTGGATTTAATAAATAATTTATAGATGCTTTAATTAACTCTTCAGAATTAGAATAGTTATTTATGTAAAATGTTTTATAATTTAAACCATCGTATATTGCACAACTTATTACTTCCAATTTACCCTTAACGTTTCTAGTTTCGTAATCCATAGTTAAAAATTTAACTTTAGGTTTATTACTTCTAGTCATTTTAGTGATAAATGTGGAAAATCATTTTTTATCCCCTGCTAGTATAAACAATCGAGCTGCGCATAATAATAAATTTATATCTAAAAGTGGATTTACATCATATGTAAAACTATTTTATTTAATTATTTAAAGGTTGAATAAAATTAAATGCGATTTTAAGATCTAGATACTAGCTTATTTTAAGCTAATGTATCGTAATAATATCACTTACCCACTTCTCTATCGATTGTACATTTAAGGAATCTACCTTATGTCTTCGAATTATAATATAACAAATAGCCTAAGGTTTAATTGTATATTATTAAAGTATTTTATATGAAATACTAATTCTTGACGAAAGTCTAGAAGAACACTTTATAAAATAATCATTATGCGTGTGTATACGTACAACGCACTGTAATGATTAAAGCTTAGCTAATAAAGTGTATTATTAGAGATAATTAATAAATAAATATAAATAAAACAAACAATGGAAAGATGACTTTTCTCTACAAATGCTAAAGATATTGGAACATTATATCTTGTATTTTCTTTATTTGCAGGTATGATTGGAACAGCATTTTCAGTATTAATCAGATTAGAATTGGCTGCACCAGGTGCACAATATTTAAATAATGATCATCAACTTTATAATGTTATTATAACAGCTCATGCATTTATTATGATATTCTTCATGGTAATGCCAGGTTTAGTAGGAGGATTTGGTAATTATTTATTACCAGTACATATCGGAGCACCTGATATGGCTTTCCCTCGATTAAATAATATTAGTTTTTGATTATTACCACCATCATTAATATTATTATTATTAAGTTCATTAGTAGAATCAGGAGTAGGTACAGGATGAACTGTTTATCCACCTTTAGCTGGTATACAATCACATTCAGGTGGTTCAGTTGATCTTGGTATTTTCTCTTTACACTTAGCTGGAGTATCTAGTCTTTTAGGTGCAATGAACTTTATTACAACAGTTTTAAATATGAGAGCCCCAGGTATGACTTTACATAAATTACCATTATTTGTATGGGCAATCTTTGTAACAGCTATCTTATTATTATTATCATTACCTGTATTAGCTGGAGCAATTACAATGCTATTAACAGATAGACAATTTAATACATCATTCTATGATCCTAGTGCAGGAGGAGATCCAATATTATATCAACATTTATTCTGGTTCTTTGGACATCCTGAAGTATATATTTTAATTATACCTGGTTTTGGTATAATTAGTCATATTGTTTCACAATTCTCAGGTAAACCTGTATTTGGTTATTTAGGTATGGTATATGCTATGTTCTCTATTGGAATTTTAGGATTTATCGTATGAAGTCACCACATGTTCAGTGTAGGATTAGATGTAGATACAAGAGCTTACTTTACAGCAGCCACAATGGTAATTGCTGTTCCGACAGGAATTAAAATATTCTCATGATTAGCTACATGTTATGGAGGATCATTAAGATTTACAACACCATTAATCTTCTCTTTAGGATTTGTATCATTATTCACAATAGGTGGATTAACAGGAGTAGTATTAGCTAATGCATCAATGGATGTAGCATTACATGATACTTATTATGTTGTTGCTCATTTCCATTATGTATTATCAATGGGAGCAGTATTTGCTTTATTTGCTGGATTCTATTATTGAACACCTAAAATAGTAGGATTACCTTATAATGAATTATTAGGTAAAACACACTTCTGAGTATTATTTATTGGGGTTAAAGAAATAATTCAGATTTGTATTTTCTTAATTTCATATTTCATTTTTATTTTGTTAAGCAAACCTATTTCTATTAATGAGATAATAGATAGAGATTTAAAGGACACAGAAGATAACGATATTGACGATTTATCTTTAAATAATTTATTAAATAGTTTACCTACACCTAAACTACCTAATCCTAATAAAGGTAAAAATAAACTAATATATGAAAAATTAAATAATATTCAAGCAGAAGCTAAATTTATAGATTTAAAAGAATCTAAATTAGAAATTTTACAAAATATTAAAGATAAAGCTGGTGTTTATATGTTTTTTAATTTAACAAATGGTAATTGTTATATAGGAAGTAGTGTAAATTTAGCTAGAAGATTTAGAGTACATATGAGTTCTGTTAACTCTGTAAAATTACCTTTGCCTTTAGCTATTAATAAATATGGTCCTAACAATTTTGTATTATTAATCTTACAGTATTGTGAAAAGGAAGTAGATATCTGTGTAGGGTTAGAACAACATTACATTGATTTATATAAACCTAAATATAATATTTTAAAAATAGCAGGTTCTTCTCAAGGATTTAAACATTCTCCTGAAACTATTTCTAAATTAAAAAAATTGCATGCTGGGAAATTACATCCTAGATTCAATACTAAAGCTTCAGAACAACAAAAATTATTAACTAGTTTAGCTTTAAAAAATTACCTACTTGAACATGGTCATCATAATAAAGGTAAAAAAGGTAAATTAGCTCCACAATATGGAATAGGTGGAACAAAAATAATTATGAGAAGTGAACACGGAGAAGTATTATATTTTCCTTCTATAAATGCTACTAGACAACATTTTAGAGTTAGATTTTCCACAATTTCTTTAAATGTAAACCAAAATAAACCTATATTAATTAAAGGAGTAAAATGGTTTGTAGAAAGTGAAACATAATTACTCTAATTGTATTAAAACCTAAATTTGTGAGAGAAGTTAATTAAATTAGCCCCCAAATATTTATATTTGTAAACAACATTCTATATGCTGGAAACTCCTAAAGCTTAATCTACTTTAATTAAATAAAGTAACAATGATTTAAGATATTACAATGGACAATCAGCAGGAAACCAAATTGCATATCCAATGCAAGAGTAGGATCCTCAGAGACTACACGAATGTGATTTTTATAACTAACTAAAAATTAAGATATAGTCCAACCTTATTAGAAATATTAAGGATAATTGTAATTTAACTTTCTTCCCTCAACACTTCTTAGGTTTAGCTGGTATGCCAAGAAGAATACCAGATTATCCAGATGCTTATGCACAATGAAATTATGTATCTAGTTTTGGATCTATTATTTCAGTAGCTGCAACTGTATTATTCTTATATATTTGTTATGATATATTTGCTAATTCTGAAGCTGTTGAAAGTGAAAATGAAATTGTAGAATTGAATGCTGTTGAAAACAAAGAATTATCATGAGCTTTCCCTGGATATCTTGTAGGTAATATGGAATTTAGAAATTACCCTAGATATAGTTCTACTTTAGAATGGAGTTTACCTGTACCAACTCCTTTACATGCTTATGAAACATTACCTGCTCAAACTTATACAACTGCTTAATTATTAAGTTTTAAAAAAAGTGAGAGTAATTCATAATGCATCGCTTTATACCCTCTTGTTTACACAATATCCTAATTGGGATTACGTTATTTATACCCCCTCCACAACATCAGCATTGCTATTGTTGCACATACCTATGTCCGATAGGACGGTTAGTGTAATGCGATTTAATTAAAAGTAGCACATAGCGTCTGTAACATTTAATTAAATATTACATAAATTACACAGACCATTTTCCACATTGAGATGTGGATTACTGTATAAGCGCATGTGTCTACCTACAAATAACGACTAGCCTTTTAGGTCATAATCACTTAAATGGTCGGTTCTAAAATAAAATAGAAGGAACTTATTATAAAATAACATAAAAAAATGCATCAAGCACATCCGTATCATCTAGTAACACCGTCACCTTGACCTTTGTTCACTAGTTTTAGTTTATTTAGTATGGCTATTTTTGCAGTATCATATTTCCATGGTTTCCAATACGGAGGGTATGGATTAAATTTAAGTTTCATAGTTACACTATTTGTAATGTTACTATGGTTTAGAGATGTAATAATAGAAGGAACTTATTTAGGTGACCATACTGTACAAGTACAAAAAGGTATTTTCTTAGGAATGATTTTATTCATTATAAGTGAAGTTTTTGCTTTCATCAGTGTATTCTGAGCTTATTTCCACTCTAGTTTATCACCTACAGTAGAAATAGGTAATAGTTGACCACCACAAGGAATCGTAGCTTTAGATCCTTGAGCAATACCATTATTAAATACTTTCATATTACTATCATCTGGTATAACTATAACATATGCACATCATGCTTTAATTCAAGGAAATAGAAAAGATGCTATAAATGGTACATTATTTACTATTTTATTAGCTTTAATATTCACAGGATTACAGTATGTGGAATATAAACAAGCTATGTTTACTTTTGCAGATTCAGTTTATGGAAGTGTATTCTTTGCTAGTACAGGTTTACACGGACTTCATATTATAATTGGAACAATTTTCTTAAGTGTAGGATTTGTAAGAATGATATTATATCATTTAACTGTTCATCATCATGCTGGATACGAAGCTGCTATATTATATTGGCACTTTGTTGATGTAGTATGATTATTCTTATTCATTGTAGTATATTGGTGAGGAGGTTAATCTTATATTGCTGTACACACCAACATAATCGATGTTTATAGTTTTGCGGTGCGTTCACACATTGGATATTACATTAATCTTATATTTACCCTTTTGACTATTTACCCTCTTGCTAACTAATTAAAAGGTGTGCTATGCATACCGTTATATAATTTACTCAAGGTACTACCTACTAGCTCCGTTTCGTCTTTACCTATATTCTTTGTTGCCCCACATAGACATTGCTATGCGCACGCATTCAATACTAATGTGTACCCATTTAGGGACTATGCAATCTAAATATAAATGGTTAGCGAACGGGAGTAATAGTTATTCTCTCCTGTGCGTATATATACAACATCGCTAGTAGCATCCGCTAATCCACGATTGTGTAAATAAGCGCTATGAAACGTAATAGATTTTAGTTATAAAGAGAAACATAACAGGAGTGCATTACCGATTTCACTTACTAGCTATCTTAGCTTATATTAATTATATACTACTCTATAGCAATTGGATTCATAGATATCTTATTAGCTTGTTTTCTAATTTAACTGTATTTAATATGTTGTTTATTATTCCGTTGTTTCAACGTAGTAAGGTAATTTGTTAAAGCAAATCGCTCCAAATCAACATTGATTAAGCGGAATAAGTGGTTAATTTACCTTATTTGCAATAATAGTATTAAGCTTATAGTTTTAAGTGAGAAAGGTTTGCTTACGCATAAAAAAAAATAAATTCAAATGAAAGATATATTATTAAATTTATTAGCATTAGGTGCAATTTTATCTAGTGTTTTAGTAATTACTTCAAAAAATCCTGTAATTTCTGTACTTTTTTTAATTTCTGTATTCATTAATACAGCAGGTTATTTAATTTTATTAGGTATAGGATTTATAGGTATAGCTTATATTATAGTGTATATAGGAGCTATAACTGTATTATTTTTATTTGTTATAATGATGATTAACATCAAATTAGTAGATATCTTAGAAGTTGGTAGTGAATATACTAAAAATTTACCTTTAGCTTTATCAATAGGATTTGTATTTTTATATGAAATATTATCAATTACATCACTAATGGGAGGTAATGCTGGTTTAAATCCTATTTCTCTACAATTTTTAACTTATCCTTTAGATTTTTTAACTAATTTAAATAAATTATTTATGTTTATATTATCTCCTTATCAATATATTAATGATAGTAGTTATGATAATTTTATAACTATTATTAATACAGTTATTAACCCTGTTGGTTTAGATATTAATTTTGTTAATTTCTTACAAATTGAAATGTTAGGACAAGGATTATATACTTATGGAGCTTCTTGATTAATTTTAAGTAGTATAATACTATTATTATCAATGATCGCACCTATTATATTAAGTAGTCCTAGTTCTGTTCAAAGAAATAATAACGATTTTAATTAATTAATTATCAGCCTTATGCTTTAATATTTTACCCCCTTTACCTAATGCCTAATCATAATCATTGATTGAACAGTATGCATATACATTAAACGTTAACTTATACGCACTAATAATAGCTTAGCTTATATAGTAATGCCTTAACATAGTAAGCTAATGTTCATACATTTACTAAAAGTAGTTAATTAATTAATTTTAGGAGCTATATCCTAAAGGCTTAATTCTCGCCGCATAATCACTGCTCGAGCTAGTGTGCACATCGTTAATCGATGCCGTTATATTTCTGCTTAGAGGTTTAAGCTAATAAGGTTAATTATATTGCGTATATTATCATCCACTCTTGCACAATGGTGTGGAGCGTAAAATAAAAATATTGTCGGTGTCATAGCATAGAGGTAATGCGGGGTGCTGTTAATACCTTTTACAGAGGTTCGAGTCCTCTTGACATCTTTCTATATATTATGTTTGTAATCTTATTGTGTTATTTTTTCTCGTGCAACCCCCTGCGCTTTAGTAGTTAAAATGGTATAACGCCCTCGTGTATTTAAATAGACGAGGGGATCAAAGGTTCGAGTCCTTTCTAAAGCATCCGTGCATAGTCATTATGTGTTGATACCATCATTAACGTTTAATGGTGCCAGATTAACTCTATAGACTCACGTAGAATATGAAAAAAGCCTTGATATCGTATCTAATTCCCCATACAGCTTCATATAAGCTAGGATACGATGAGCGACAGCTCGAGCGAAAGCTCAAAAATTTACAAATAATATAACTCAAATAAAATGTTAAAATTTCATATGTATTACATATTAATTATTATAGCTAAATTCTGTGTAGGTCTAATCATAGGTATTAACTTATATCAGAGACTTATAACTGGTAAATTAGGATCAAGACTATTAAATTTCTATTTATCATATAAAGGTTCAAATTTATTTTATATTCACATGTTTTTATTCCTTTTTTTATGTTTTAATATATTAAGTTTAATTGATTACACAATTGTGTATTATTTACAATCAGAAGGATTAAATTTATATGATGATGTATTATATAGATCTCATACATGCCATGCAACACCATCGAATGATGGAGAGACACCTAAAGTGGAAGTAGGTGTAAATGTTGATGTAAAAAATGTAAATGTAGGAGGTATTAATTTACCTGCCTCTGGATTAGCTGATGGAATAAGAGCCTTAGGTAATAGTGGTATCAAGGCTGGTGGAATAACTGGTGGTGTACAATGCGCAAAATCTTGTTCAACTGTAGCAGGAAAAGTAGGTGCAGTAGTTGGTGGAGTATTAATAGGAGGAGGAGCAATAGTTTTAAAGGATTTAGCTTCAGATGTTAAAAATATCTTAGGGGGAAGTAGTACTTCTTCTTACACAAGTAGTGATAAATTTAGTATTGTATTAGGGAGAACAGGAGATAATATGCAAGATTTTTTATATGCTTTTGGTACATTCCATAGTGTGCAATTAAGCATTGTTTTTGCATTAAGTATCTATTTTACAATCATCTATTTTAAACCTAAATTGATTTCATTTGGTGAAAAATTACCTTCTAGTATAAAAAACTATTACTTAAAAATATTAAATTCATGAATCAATCTTAATTATGGATTAATAATTTATTTCTGAATTCTATTAATAATTTCTTTATTATTATGTAATTATTATTTTGATTTTTTTATTGATAATTTCGATACAATCTTGAAATTTTATAAAAAATAAAATAATTTTTAGTTTTTTACCCCCTTGTTTTAAGGGTTTAGGTTATAAATAAGCTAAGGTGAATTAAGCTAACGCACTTCACTCAAATTATTGTAATGCGCTCTGTATTGCGCATGCGTATAAACTATTATACTAAAAGTAGTTAAATAATAAAAATAAAATAAATTCTATGATAGTGTAAAAACACAAACGTGTGAAAATATAATTCTTAAATAAAACACACCTTTTATACGATACAGTAATTGTATAAAGTCTAAGTATTAATAAACCCCCTTGTAATATCCCTTAAAGGTGACTATGCACAGGAGGAGTGTGTTTACGATGCTATTTTTTTTAGCAACATGATTTAAGAAACAATTATAATTTTAATCAGCTTATATTTTTTTTGTACAAAAAAAATGTTAGCAGCTGCAAAATATTTAGGAGCAGGTTTAGCTTGTTCAGGATTAATCGGAGCCGGAGCCGGAATCGGTTTAATTTTCTCATCATTAATTGCTTCAACAGCTAGAAACCCTCAAGTAAGAGGTCAATTATTTAGTTTCGCTATTTTAGGTTTCGCCTTAGCCGAAGCTACAGGATTATTCAGTTTAATGATAGCTTTCTTATTATTATATTCATAATTATGTGCATTGTGCACCGCAAACCCAATCCAATGGGAGCGAATTGAATATAAAATCTACCCTCTTGCTGTCCTACACTCGCTTCGCATTGATCAATGTTTTAGCTGTGTGGGTATATTTAATGCCATAGCATTCTTTAGTCAAGGTTCTTTATTAAATGTATTAGTTAAGGAATTATAATATTTTATTAATTAAAAGCACATAATTTAAAGGTAAAATGAATTTTTGATAAGGATTTTATGGAAGTTCGATTCTTCCTGTGCTTATCCTTAAAGGCTTATTTTCAGCAAACCTTTAACTCTGTACCTTCTTGGTACAATCTTTTTTTAATGTTGCTGTACAATGCTCTTAAGTCGAATATGATTATAGCTTAATTAAAATAAGTACTCATTCCCCAAAGGAAAGCTATGTATAAAATAATAAATTATACATTCCTTTGCCTACCGCTAAGCATTGATTAATGTAAAATGCGCATTGTACTTATTATAGCCGACAGGCTGGCATATTGCCGAAATTTTTTATATATAAATATACACAAAAATGTTAAATATAATTTTAAATTATTTATTTAGTCCTATCTTAAATGATACTCCAGAACCATGGCAAATAGGATTTCAAGATAGTGCTGCACCAGGTTTCGAAGGTATAACAGATCTTCACGACTCTATTTTCTTCTATTTAGTAATTATTTCAATAGGAGTATTTTGAGTATTACTAAGTATAATTCTTAATTTCAGTTATAAAAATTCACCAATAGTTTATAAATATTCAAATCACGGTACATTAATTGAATTAATTTGGACTATTACACCAGCTTTAATTTTAATTGCTATTGCATTCCCAAGTTTTAGATTACTTTATATGTTAGATGAAGTAGTTACACCAATAATGACTATTAAAGTAATAGGACATCAATGATATTGATCATATGAATATGCTGATTTCATCAATGAAAATGATGAATCAATAGAATTTGATAGTTATATGGTACCAGATAGTGATTTAGAAGTAGGTCAATTAAGATTATTAGAAGTTGATAATAAAATAGTAGTACCTGCTAATGCACATATCAGATTAGTAGTAACATCCACAGATGTTATCCATGATTTTGCTGTACCTTCTTTAGGTTTAAAAATAGATGCTGTACCTGGTAGATTAAATCAAACATCCTTTATTGCTTTAAGACCTGGAGTATTTAGAGGACAATGTTCTGAAATTTGTGGTGTATACCACGGATTTATGCCTGTAGCTGTACAAGCTTTACCTTATGAAGAATTCTTATTCTGATTAGAATCTATGTCTTAATCTATAGACTTTTATTATAACCCCCTTTATATATTAAATATCCATTCAGTATCTTAAATATTTCTTAATATACTGTTAAAAGAATAACTATGCACCTGTGAACAATGACACAACATCGTCAGGTCTTACCGGTCGGTGATGCGGACTGTTGCACATAGCTCTTGTGCTTTAGCTACCTTTGGTCAATAGGTTGCACAGCGTAGTTTATTTAAACCTTTGTAAAATATTTTATATTTTACTAACTGCTACAGAACCATAAGCGGTTTTAAATCGATGGTTAGTTAAAGCCCTGCTCTTTATTTGAGTATTTAAGAGGGCATTAGATTGCTCCAAAGGATTGCAACATTTTCGCATTGATGACTGTATATATTTTATTATACTACCTCAGCTTTGATTAACGGAATGGGTAAGGTAGCATTATTGTTCTAAGATTATTACAATAAGGCGTTAACGCTCTATTTCTTAATATTACACTAATGCATTCTAACTAATTTGATTAAATAGCCTTTAAATTAGGTAGCGTATTATAAAGGTTCAATGATTTTTAATTTATGCACATACTACTATCTACTACCACTCCACAATTAGGTGGGGGTATATGGATATGAGCATTGTGTAGCATGTTAAATAATACGCATTTAATAATAAACAATAAAAAAATATGATAAACACACTTTATAATTTATTAGAAGTTTTAATTGTTATAGTACCAATATTATTGGCTGTAGCTTTTATGACAATCATAGAAAGAAAACAATTAGCTGCTATGCAAAGACGAGTAGGTCCTAATACAGTAGGATATTACGGACTATTACAACCTTTCAGTGATGCTTTAAAATTAATTTTAAAAGAAACAATAATACCAGCTCAATCAAATAAAATATTATTTTATTTAGCACCAGTATTTACCTTAATCTTTAGTTTATTAGGATGAGGTGTAATACCTTTTGGTCAAGGTTTAGCTATTTCTGATTTTTCATTAGGAATTTTATATACTTTAGCTCTATCATCATTAGGAATATATGGAATATTATTTGCAGGATGATCAGCTAATTCAAAATATGCTTTTTTAGGATCTTTAAGAAGTACAGCTTCAATGATCAGTTATGAATTAGTATTAAGTACAGCTGTAATAATAGTAATAATTTTAACAGGATCTTTTAATATTACAAATATTATTGAAAATCAACAATCTATTTGATATGTAGTACCTTTATTACCTGTATTTATTTTCTTTTTCATTTCAATATTAGCTGAAACAAGTAGAACTCCTTTTGATTTACAAGAAGCTGAATCTGAATTAGTAGCTGGATTCTTCACTGAACATTCATCTATTATTTTTGTATTCTTTTTCTTAGCTGAATATTGTTCAATTGTATTAATGTCTAGTTTAACAGCTATATTATTTTTTGGTGGTTATAATTTTATTGAATTATTTGAAAATAATTCTTTATTAAATATTCAAAGTATTATTTTAGGTTTAAAAACTTGTCTATTCTGTTTCTTATTCGTATGGTTTAGAGCTACTCTACCTAGATTAAGATATGATCAATTGATGCTTTTCTGTTGAACAGGAATGTTACCTATTGCTATAGCATTTACAATTTTTATACCTAGTGTACTTATAGGATTTGATTATATACCTTAATTACCATCTGATTTATTTTCTTTATTTTACCCCCTTTCACACACAGACATTGAAGATAGCTAGCTCTTTATTTTATAAAGCATTAAGACTTTATATGTAAGCTGAGAAAAACCAATGAAATTTTATATATCCTGTCTAACA